AGTAAACTCAACACCATCAAAACTGTAGAAAAAGTCGGCGTCCCTAGTCCCCGTCGGCCGCGCATCCAGTTCAGCCCGGAACCATATCTTGGCAGCGCCGCTCGGTACAGGTGCTGAAGCTACCTCCTTGCCTGGGTCAACGGGATTACCCGACTCCGCGTCGATGATGATACCCTGGATCGCTTTGAGGGTGTACTCGCTGCCGTTGCGGTGGATACCGATATACGCAGTCTGGTCGCGGAACGCCGCCAGCCCGAATTTGTCGCCGTCGGCCATGTTGCTAAAGTCGATTTCGACGGTTCCCTTGGGGAATTCTCCGTGGATTCGGTGGGTGAGGGTGTTTCTCGCAGAGTAAATGTCTTCGGTGACGCTCGCGGTGCGCAGGGTCACGCCATTCTTGACCTCGAAGCTCGCGACGTCGGGGTTGTGGTTCCATTCCCAGGTGGGACCGAGTTCGCTTTCAAACGTGTAGGTCCGCGTCCAATTGTACAAGGGCTGAGATGGAAGAGGTAGAGGGTAGGAGGAGCCCCAACCACCGTTGCTTCCTTTCACGATCTCGGGGAAGCCATCCGCGCCCCAGACAATGGGTGCCAGCACAGGCATGCGGCCCGCGGGATACGCCCATGTGAATGACATGAAGTACCAGTCTCCTTGCGCGGTCTCAATGAGACTTCCCTGGTGGGGTGAGTTCCCTCCCTCTAGCGGCGGCGCAATGTTTTGGCCCAGGATCTTCGCTTCGTAAGGACCCCACGGACTGCTCGACTTCCAGATGTAGGTCGTGGATCCGGGCTGGTCATTGAGGATATAGTACGTTCCGTTGATTTTGTACATCCTGTTACCCTCCACCGTCTCGGTATTGACATCCGATGCCTGAAGAACCTGCTGCGTCTTCACAACACTAAGACCATCGGCAGCGAGCTGCGAAACGCTGATTTTCCCGTTGCCGTAGACCACATACATCGTATCATCATCGTCGATCAGCAGCCCGTTGTCATACATGCAATTCCCACCACCAAAGTTGGCGCGGTTATACCAAGGCCCCTCCACGGACGAAGCAGTAAAGACCCAGGTGATCCAGAAGTTGGTGCACCCAATCCAGTACCATAACCCATCACTCTCGCGGTACCGCAGCGTCGAGGCCCAGGTACCACCTCGGTAGGCACGGGGCCCGCCGGGCGGGAGGTCGTAACCGTCGCCGAAATTGAGACGCGGAATGGAGTGCCCGACGGGCTCCCAGTTGACGAGGTCGAGGGAGCGGAGGATCGGGGCACCGGGGCTGTAATGGAAGTTTGAGGCGGAGAAGTAGAAGGCGCCGTCTGGGCCGACGGAGATGTCGTTGTCAGGGTAGTCTTCGTAGAGGACTGGGTTCTGGAAGGTTTCCTCGCGGCATTTTTTGATGGTTGCGGCCGAGGTGAGGAGGAGTAGGGCTGCTGAGAGCAGCAGAAGACGGGTCGACACCATCGTCGAAGAAGCACTGGCAGAGGCAGCCCGGGGAATTGAGAGCTTGGTTCAGACTTTGGGAATCTGATCGATTATCACGGGGACTCTTTCAGCTACATATACTGGAATATTCTTGAGGCATCTCCTTTGGCCTTTCTGGATTACTTCGAATCATTGGTGCGGGAGGAGAGTGTCAGCCATCTGCAGGAACTTCTCGGCGGGTTGACGTCCGCTACCTTAAATCGTCAAATGCGACGCTGTCACTTTGCGGGGTGAGAGATGCCAAGAAAAGAGAAACCCGCCCTAATTTAGCCATCTCGGTTTCCTGGTCTCCAGGGTTTAGCGGGAAAGGCCATTTCTTTTGGAAAAACATAGAGATCTTACCCGATTCCCAAGCCAATGATCTCGCCGCTACTATGTTGGTGCAGGATGACGTCCATCCTGTTGCGTTTTGGCTTGAGCAACGTCGCTTGCCTTAGTAGGACTTACACAGAGGGGCTAAGCAACATCCCAAGAAGTCGGGAGGCGGAATCAGACGCGGTGGGCGCTGCCGACAAGTTGTGATGTTGGCAAAATTATTCATTGCATCAGGATAGCTGGCAACTGAACGAAATGTCGGGTTCTTGAATACAACAGAGGACAGAGGAGCTAAAGCACTCTATTCTTAGTAGCAGCTATTATCATAACGTACACTGAGCGGCCCCTTTTTATTCCCGTTGCTCAAGCTTCTGCTCGTAGACAACATGACTGTAAAACTTGTCAGAACCAATCTTTTCTTCTCAAGTGCAACAGGCAAGGGGGGCATTTCAGTGAGACTCACAAGTGCAGGTAGACGTGAGTCTCGCAGGCCTTCATCTCCTGGCGGACCTGCGAGAGCAACACAAGCACCTCCTCCCTAGTCCAATCCAGTGCGGTGAAAAATAGCTTCAGGGTAAAGGCGTCAAGCCCTTCGAGCATCTGGATAAGGTTGCCCATGCCAATGTCCTTGAGCGAAGGATCCTTTGCCCAAGGCCCGATGGGAATCTTGTAGTGTCGATGCTCGACGTTTTGAAAGCCGAGGTCTCTCACCCATGCATTCAAACTTGATCCAGGAGCTCCATCTCGTCCAAGATTTGCGCAGGCTTCCATGAATAGGGTGGCTCATCGGTGTGTCTGGGTACTGTTGAGGGACCCATCGTCTGAGTCTAGCATCAGACTCCAGTCTTGGAACTCCGCCCAGCCGCCAGGCGTCAGGTTCCTAAATAGTCTCATTGTTACTATTCATCTTTCAAGTGCAGATGGTTAAAGGACCGCTCACTTAAAAATTCGGCTGATGTACAGTTGCCAGTCCGCGATAGAGCCAGCCATGTAACGGCTGAAGATGAAGGTGTACTTCTTGTTCCCTACCTAGGGGCTTTCGACGTCGTCGACCTCGACCTTGACGTTTGGAGGTACCCAAGACGGCTGAATGGGACTCAAATCAATTCCGGTTACCTCGGCATTAGGGAAGAAATCTCCCATCTCGGTTGCCCCTACAATGACATTATCAGTCTCGTTCACGAGCATTGGGGTCACATAGAAGCATCCAACTACCGGTCCCGGTGCCTATGTCTAGTATGCGATGCGTCTTAGTTTCGTCGAATGGTGCAAGGAAGAGCGTGTTGCCAATGATCTTGACCATCACGGTATGCGTTGATCCGAGTCTATCAGATTCTCTCTATAAAGAATATTGCAATCAGTGACTCTAGCTTTAAGAAGTTGATTTTGTGAAAACTTTACCTCGCCATTTGGGAACTTATAGGCTGTGTATGTAGTTACCAGATATGTCGCTCACAATGGGGACGACACGGATCAGCTAATGCTACTCACAGCCAGCTCGAAACGCGTGATAAGTTCGACCACATTCAGTCGGATAATCCACCATTGATGAAAACAGAGAGGCAGTATAAAAAGACCTGGTTCAAATTCCCATTAGTCCTGCTTGGAACGAACCTGTAATTGACGGTTTCAGGATTAGGACTGGACTCACATGCGATCATCCATGGTCGAGGCATCGTTCTGTTCACAAGAAACGCATCAGTTACGGCAGATTATTATAGAACTTCAAGATACGAGCCCTGATCACTCTTACTTCGTTGTCAACTTCGATGTCGGCTGATGTTGATGGGACGTCTGCCGTAGATGCCGCGGTTGGCTGGACGGGTTGTGCCTCGACCTCACTAATTGAGCCGGACATGATGATACCTGCACGCGCTGCAACTGTTTTCTGACACAACTGAGGGGATTCAAACGAGGTACAGGAGGCCTTCAGATAATACCATCCCAGGAAGCGGGATTTCTGAGGTTTATCGTATGTTGGCACCAACGTAGCTTGGCGGCGCTTAGTTGTAGCAAATATCTGGATCTTCTGCAGAGCGGATGCAGCACTTACATGGAGACAGCGTATCTCACCAATTGAGGGTAAAAGTCCGGCTGGGTTATTGCTTTTGTCCTCAAGTGAGCCAACATAGCAAGGTCGAGTAGTTCTAGTTTGACACGGATATGTTGCTAGGAATTAACAGCCCATCTGAGGCATCCAACGCCTCTAGCTGTCATCTAATAAACATATATGCATCGTCGTGGCTCATATGATACATGACAGTGCCATTGACGGCTGCGTAGAAATTCTCCTTCATATCCCATTCTGCCACCTCAAGTGTCAATTCTTAATAACATAAAACTGAACCTCCGCAATCATTGAGGTCTCAGAACGTATTCTGGCACCCTTGGAGCCCCTGGTCTCATCGGCGGTTTCGCCATCTCCATCTGCCCCTTTTGATTCGGTTGGTCATCAATACCAGATGTCCACTGGATTATGCCCATCATCGGCTCCGCGTGGTTCAGTATCGGGTCGTTCTTGTTGTTCAACTCGGTCGTAAACTACTTGCCAGACGCTTATCCGAATGTTGCAGCTTCAGTCCTTGCGGGCAGTGATTTTTTCAGAAGCGTCTTTGGTGTGGGGTCCCCGTTGTCCGCAAACGGAATGTTTACCAAATTGGGGGTTGCACGGGCGAGTTCGCTTCTGGGATTTTTGTCGCTTCTGTTCATCCCTATCCCTTTCATACTATACAAGGTAAGTCGCCACAAGTCTGCAAAATGATTTGCCATATCGCTGATTGCAGACACAGGTCGGTCCGAAGCTGCGCAGAGAGTACAGCAGACATGCGTAGAAGGGATATCTAGAGTGACCTACACACCACACCAGTCGTGGTTCCCGTGACAACAACAAAGGATCGCGAGTTCTACAAGATCGGGTAACATTTTCGCCATTCATAATTCCATTTGTTTAAATGTATATATGTTCTCTAGTTTGTTGTGGAATCCAGTCACATGAAATCCATGTTTAACGTTCACCTAATGGTGTTGTAAAGAAGAGTGCTTCATGGGCCTTTGTGATCATTGAACAATGATCAACCATTGAATAGGGGTTAAACATTTGCTTTACTAAAGAGCCATGAAACAGCGGAGTAGCTATATTCTCCCAAAACCATTCTTGCCAGATCACCTCTGTGTCTACTTAGTTCCCTTATGCCATCGCGCACTTAGATACTGTATCTGAAGAGTTTGTCCTGTTTATCTGTCAAGTCACTCTCAGGAGCACCACCTGCATCCAAGACGACCTCATCCTGGCTCTGGATGTTCTGGCCATCAGATTGAGCAGCATCTCTCTTCTTGTTGTCCTTTGCACAGAGCCATCTGTACACGACAATCTCGACAAACAGCAAGCACCACGTGACGATAGCTGTGACAACGCCGTTGAAATAGCGCGGCTTCTTGGTCCAAAGCTGAGGTGCGCCGATGCATCCTGCGCAGTACCCAACGAAGAACATTGCGTTGACGATGGCGCGTTTTGTGTTTCCCTTCACGTTTGATGCCGTAAGGGAGAGAAGGATCGACCATACGGCGGTAATGCACGATGCCTGAGCATACAAGGTCAGTAAGATGTCAGGACACAGTGTCGAGAATGTTTGACTTACGATCCAAGATGCAGCAATCATACCCCACCCGGCATTGGTGGACAGTTTCATAAGAAGTACGTTGCCAATGAGGGGCGGCAGGATGAGGACGAGAGCCACCAGACTTCGTTGCTTGGGGAAGAGCATGCAGCCGCAGACACCAATCCACAGCATCCCAATCTGAACGGCGCCTATAAAACGATATTAGATACGAATCTTAGTCAATGTAATCCGACGACATACCAGATGGAGCAGTGTATAGCATGGTCTGGTACTTGTCGTAGCCAATGCTATTGATAACAAGTGAAGCGAACTGGAGCATCCATGGTCAGCTGTTATCGCGATTTTGAGATATAGATGAGACCAACCGTAAGGACCGGAGACTGCATGGTGACCAGAACACCGAACCAGAACACGAACCAGGTTCTGATATCAAATACAGCCTCCTTGAGCTGCGTCATAGAAAAGGAGGTCTTGTCGCCACCTTCACGGTCCTTGGCCATGCGCATAGACAGTACTTGTTTCTGGCGCTCGTTCAAGAACCACGCATCTTTGGGGCCATTCGGCATGAAGAGGTAGAAGAGAACTCCGGCAAAAGAGGTAATTGCACCACAGACGAGGAACAACACTCTCCAAGGGGCGAGGGCGTGGGTGTTCTTGGCGATGCCGTACATCAGGAGGGAACCGCAGATCTGAGCGACGCCGTTCATGGTGATCCAAAGCCTATCCATTATCAATAACACGGTATGTACGTCGGCTTTGGGAGATCTTACGCTGTTCGGAGGGCATGCTCGTTGCTTCGGTACCAGATACTTGTGATTGTGATGAAGGCGGGAGAGACGGCCCCTTCGGCGAAGCCTAGTAGGAATCGAACGGCAGCAAAGCCGGCGTAGTTGTGCGGGGCCGCGAGACACATGCAGATAATGCCCCAGATGACGCTGCGAAAGGGGTTGTCAGCAGCTGTATAAAGAGATTGCAGAAAGGGATAGACTTACACGGTGACTCCGACAAACTTGGTAAGGTGGAATCTGCTCATCAAGTAGATGAAAGGATATTCCGATACCAGCTGACCTGTTCCGCGATGGTTAGAAACTGGATAGCTCGGGGAGCATCGCAGATGTACTTACCAACGTAGAAGATAGATGAACACCACGAGTATTGCGTGCTAGTCAGGTTCAGGTCGGTGATGAGGCCGAACACCTATCATCTTGTGGTTAGCAGCTTGAAGTTGGGGCAACATTTGATGGTTCCAGAACATAGGCAGCTTACACTGGCGTAACTAAGACTTTGCTTGTCCAAGTATTGCAGAAAAAAGACGAAGCACATCTAGACAAGCAAATCAGTCGAGTTGTTCATCAGTCATGGTTGCTAAAATTAGTTACTCACCATTGGCAGGATGGCCAGGTCGATCTTGCGGAGAACTTCCTTTTCCTCTTCAGGGGTATAGCCATCCGCAAGATCAACAATTTGTCCAGTCTTCTCCTTCATTGCTTCTGAAGGGACGTCGCCTCCTTGTTGCTTGGTCATCGCATCGATCTTGGTTTCGCCGGACGAGGCCATTGTTGCCAGTGCTCGTTTGGAAAGTCTGAAGTCAAAGTCAAAACAGCCTTCGTCGACTGTCTCTCTAGAAATCCCACCCTCTCGGAGAACGGCAGAAGTGCCGGTTTTAAGATCCACGAGTTCGTCGTCTCCACATGTCGCATGGCATGTCATCTGTCGACCCGGGGTTATGTTTCCATCCCCCGCACTAAGAGATGCATATCAGGACATTCTCCAGAAATCCCTTCGATTGGATGTGACTAGTGAAGATAGCGGTGATACCGGAGGTGGGGCGAGCCATGTTGCCGACGACAAAGGAGGTTCGTGACAGATACCCGACGCGGGTATCGGCAACATGGCTTTGTGCTAACCAGGTTCCCGATGATAGACTGCCACGCTACCGATAAGTCTAGTAATGTCAAATGTAAGTGGTTGATAATTGCAGTATGACGAAGTGCCGTGAAATGAAGCCAATCGGATAAATAAACATCTGTGGAAAAGAGTGAGCAGATATCCGAGTTGCAGGCACTGGGATTCAGCATTTGTAAACTCTTCGCTCCTTTTTTTGACTTTCCCCTCACCTCCGCCTCCATTCCAAGCTTGGCGTAGACAACCTAACCTTTCAGAAGTCTTCTGACATTCACCATGGTCACCGAAGCCGACTTGAAGCCCTGGCTCCGTAGCCCCGTCCGACGATACGTCCTCACCAACGCCACCATCGTCGACGTGACAGACGGCAGCCTGCGCCCCAACGCGGCGATTCAGCTCAAAGATGGCTACATAGACACAATCACCGACTCGACAGACTCAGCAATCAAGACCTCTGTGGAACAAGGCTTCGAGGTGATTGACTGCTCCGGCAAGTTCATCTGCCCGGGCCTCATCGACTCACACGTCCACTTCGTCGCGGTCCCTGGATTCGGCGACCTTTCTAAAGCATTCGGCAACGCCAACGATGTCTCACTTCTTCGCCAACCATACGTTGCCGCACAGATGCTACACCGCGGGTTCACGAGTGTGCGAGACTGCGGCGGTGCGCAGCAGGCACTGAAGGAAGCCATCAACGACGGTGTCTTTCCTGGCCCGAGGCTCTTCATCGCGGGACATGCCCTGTCGCAAGCGGGTGGCCATGGGGACATCCGTGGTGTTCACGATCACTCCGAGTGCTGCGGCGGGTCAACAAACGGGCTCGGAAGGCTATGCAACGGCGTACCGGAGTGCATGACCGCCGTCCGAGAAGAGATCCGCGGCGGAGCCGACTTTATCAAGATCATGGGCTCCGGCGGTGTTTCGACACCAACCGATAGAATCGACCACCTCCAATTCACCGGCGCTGAGATCCGAGCCATGGTCGAATGTGCCTCGAACGCGGGCACCTACGTCACAGCCCACGCATACACAACGAAAGCTATCCGGCATTGTATCGATAACGGTGTGCGGGGGATTGAGCACGGCAACTTTGTCGATGCTCCTACGGCGAAGCTCATGGCGGAGAAGGGCGTCTATCTTACTCCCACCCTCATCACATACGCTCAGATGGCGTCGCCGAAGTGGAAGGGCTATTTGCCGCCCGAATCCATGTCGAAGAACGAGGAGGTGCTCAATGCCGGGTTGGTGGCGCTCAAGACTGCGTACGACGCCGGTGTGACCATTTGCTTCGGTACAGACCTTCTTGGGCCGCTCGGAGCAGCGCAGTCGTTTGAGTTCTCGTTGAGAAGCAGAGCTGTCCCATCGCTAGCTGTGCTGCAGAGTGCGACGCTCAATGCCGCAAAGATGGCCGGCAGACAGGATTCGCTGGGTCAGATTAAGGAGGGCTTCGAGGCAGATCTTCTCATCACAGACGCCAACCCTGTCGAGAATGTATCCATATTTGATGACCCCGAGGCTCACGTGTTTGGTGTCTTAAAAGAAGGCAGGATATACAAGAGCAGATGGAGCGGTCTGGTCGAGGATGCCACAGTACCCGTCAGAATCAAGCCGGCGTTGTGAGATCTGTTTGAAACTTGGAATATTTGGAGATACTTAGGAGAAGAGGAGCAGCTCATAGAACCGCAGAAATCAAGGAAACTGCGTAATGAGATGGGAAAAAAAAGGCAATAGAAACCATGACGTACAATCAGCTGAGCATAGCAGAGTCAGCGACGCGTCGAGGTAACCTCGTAAAGTCCATGGAACTTATGCCCTAACGCGTGACCGGCAGGCTTCATTCGCGAGAAAGGCCAGTGACAGGAAAAGTCGGAATCCCTCTCCAATACCGACGGGATGGGACGGGGTTGGAAACACAATGGTACTCTCCTAAATGAGGTGAGGCGAGGTGAACATGTTCTTCCTTTCACATCGCCGAACAGCTTAACCTTGACGCGTGATCCCTGCCGCCACAGTGGGGTTTGTTCTTATCGGCAAAGCGTCCGAAATGCGGAGAGACCCCAAGAACCATCTTGCTTCAGACATCTTTCTTTCTTCCACACCAACTTCCTCCCAGCACTGAACGCTCATCCCAGAGTTATCCGAGTCTCGAAGACCAAATAGACTCTCATCCATCATGACGATTCCATGTTCGTCATATGAAAGCGACACTTCCGCCAATGGAGTCTCCCGCAGAGCGCCGCCGCCGCCGCCGTAGAGTCCCGGATGCAATTCGAAAGCGGGCACCCCGGGCGTGTGATCGATGTAAGGCACGCAAGAACAAATGTATCGAGACTCCTTCTGGTGTATGTGTGCGATGTACTGAGGGATCTCATCCATGCCGCTTCGAACGGGAGCGTAGCCCAGCTGGTGAAGAACATGAAGCCTCGACTTCGACAATAACTTCAATAACCGCGGGCACAAGATCTATCGGCATTCCAGAGCGAGAGTCGAATCGGACAAACAACGATGTCTCTTTTACTCTCAATACACCTTTGGGTCAAAGCATGAACGACGAGTTCTCTCCCGCAGATAGCGCGCCTTCAGAAGCCTTCATGTGGCCGCGCTTCCTATCCCGTCTACGGGATGCCTTTTGTCTCGACTCACAGCCACCATCGGGAGATCAGGATCTAGCAAGCCTGCAGCCTCGAATATCGGATACACCTCCAGCTGATCCTGCCGAGCGTAGGCGCATCAAGAGAGCAGTGAAGAGCTTTCCCCCGCGCGGTGTCGCCGACTTTCTGGTGTCGGTTTGCATCGCTTACGGGACCGATATTTTCTTCTACCTTGACCAGAGCCACTTCATGGCAGAACTCGATCAACTTTACAATGACGAACAGTCGACTTTGAGAGAAGATTCCGGTTTTGTTTGTCTTGTCTTGGCAGTCTTCGCGCTAGGGAGCCAGTGGACAGCGCTGGCGAGACCGGAAGACCTGAGCAGTGCAGCCTCGACGGAAGATCGGAGCGTTGATCCCGGCCGGATATTCTACAATCAGGCTCGTATTTTGATCTCTGATTTACTAGACCGGCCTTGCCTCAAGTCAGTACAGGCGACGTTCATCTTGGGCGTCTACTTGATGCCGGCTAGCGCCATCAGTGCCTCCTATGTGTACATGGGATTAGCACTGCGAAAGGCTCTGGCTATTGGGCTCCACCAAGAACCTGACGACCCCTCTTTGACCGAGGACGAGAAGGAAACCAGACGGAGGCTCTGGTGGTCGATTTACTCCCTTGAAAGGTATGTCTCCTTCTGCTGCACCATGCCTCGAGACTTGCGCTAACAGCGATAGAACGGTCACCATCAAGCTCAATCGACCGCGATCCGTAGACCAGGAGATCATCACAGCGGGTCTGCCGAAACCAACTTCACGGGACGCGTCTCAGAAGTTTGACAACTTACAGCATCAAATAGCAAACGCAGCGTTCGTCAGAATCATTGACAAGCTTTCAGAGCCTGGGTCAGTTGACTTGAGTAGTCCTAAACAATGCCCCAAGGCTAATGTTACCAGCAGAGGATGGTCGAATACCAACCATTCGCACACAGGAGCTTTAAGACGTCCCACAGATGCCCAAATATCTCTAAAGGCATGGAAAAAGGGGCTCCCGTCATCACTCAAGCTACAAAATGTCGATCCAAAGTCATCCAGCTATCGCGCCGTTTTCCACCTGCACCTCAACTACTACTTCGCCTGGATCGACATGGGCAAGGTCTCCGTGGTGACTGTTGTCCGCGCTCGTCTGCAAACGATTTTCCACGCAACCGCCGGTCAATCCGATGTGCCTAGAGACGTAGAGCAGTCCTCAGAAGCATGCATCAAAGCAGCCAAGAAGATGCTGGAACTTTTCGAGGGCCTTTGTCGCGGGGGCAATATGGCGCGGTTCTCCTTCACAGACTTCCAAGGATGCAGCATTGCCACGATTATCGTCCTCCTTGCCGGAATCCTGGACCGTGATTCTGGGTACGAGGGGCGGGTGGCTTTTGGACTTGATTGTCTCCGCAAGATGTCCAGCTTCGGGAACACGACAGCAAAGATGGGAGTCCGCTTCGTTGAGGCCCTACAGTCCATCACGAATGAAGCTAGGTCCAAGTTGGTGATGGCTCGGAGAAGAGAGATGAGTCAGGCTCAAGAAGCCTCATCAGGACAGGCAGAGGGCTATGGACGATGGGCAGAATGGCTGGCGACTGCTGAGGTGGTTGGCAGCCCTTCGAGCGACGAGTCCGACCTCGAGGGGGAGCAGTCGGGGCAGCCGCCGGCTCCTGCTCATGGCCCATTGATATCACCAGACATCATGCTCTCGTCTCCATGGGAAGAAGCAGCAGCTCTCCAGTTACAAGAGATGTCAGCCTCGAGTTTCGGCATGCCAGCGCCGGAAGGGGTGGCAGCTGATGAAACCACGTTGATGCCATTGCCCACGGGAGAAGAAGCCTGGCTGCCATCTTTTGCATGGAATGATGACCAGATGTACTTGATGGGTTTGACTGGTATGGATGGACTAGACTTCATGGGAGGGATTTCATAGTGCTGTCGGTTTACCCTTTGGACATAAACGGAGCAAGGATACATACAATCTGAAATGGCAACTGATCATGTCCACTTGCTAGGGCCAGCTCCTTGTCATCTGAGTTCACCCTCGTTCCCCTCGACTGCTTTGGATTTGGTCACTTTTCCATTGCCTGCAATACCTGCTCTCGGCACTCGTTTGGATGCTTCGAAGTGTCGACGACAACCACGTTGCCGTCGGGTCTGTACGGGTTCTCAATCCATCTTCGAAACAAGGCCTCCTGTTCGTCTCGTCCTTGGCACGCATTGCTGTCAACCGGAGGACTATATATCCCCGTACGCTGACTTCTCATCGCTACCCTCTTCTGCAATCTCTCATCTAGCATATCAATGTCGACTTGAGGTCTGCACTCGATGTACCAGTACTCAAAATCTACTTTTTCCGCCAGGGCTCTCCCACTCGTGATTACTTCTTCGTAGTTGCAGGTGCAGTCTACAATGAGATTGCGGCCCTGTATGAGCATGCTGCCGGCGAGCGCCCAGAGCGTTGAGTAAGCTAGCTTTGCGGCCTGCTCAAATAGTACCCCATTATCGAGGAGAGAGGACTTGATAACGTCAAGATCGAGGATGACGGCATCAAGAGGCTGGGCTAGGAGATTTGCTGTGGTGCTTTTGCCCGCGCCCGGCGCTCCTGACATCTGGAGGAAAAGCCGCCGTGGCGGACTAGAATCTTGAGAAGGCATTACGATAGCTGAGACGCTGAGTTGACCCTGTCTGTTACCAAGCGGGCTGCTGATCAGGTTTCCTCTGGCGCTGTAGTACTGCAGAGTTTCTGCACAGATTCGAAGTCTTCGGGTGAGGCAAAGAAAGAGGCAATCAAGCTTAGAAGTACTTCATGCTTTGAATATATTTATCGTGTCCCTTTGGCGTTTAAAGCCAACACTGAATCACTGAAGAACATTCCTCCCAAAACCTGATCTCATATACTTTGTGCGTGCACTGCCACAGTGACGTGTCTCGATCTGCAGCATTCACTTAGCTCCCAGCCACAACGAACCGACGCCGCAATGTGAATGCAGCCTGAACCATTGGTACTTGCTTCGAACATCGACGCCTAGACTCCTAAAGCCCATCACCGAGCTCTCTCTAGTTGATTGCTGTTTCCTTGCCCGACCACTTGCTTCTCTGTCATCTCATGGACTAGGGCTTCTCCTAGTAAGCTCGTGTCCCTCCGGATCCTGTCCCAGTGGAATCCTTCCCCTCCTCCTAGACAGCCCATGCTTCATGGTTGCAAAAAACCCGGGCATGTCCGACCCTTCACCATTCATTATCATAGCCGGATGTACCACGTTGAAGACCGCAATGGCGAGAAGCATCGGCAAAGCTTCCAAGACGTAGAAGTAAGCCTCGTGTGTAATCAAGACATTGTCAATCCCATGGCCCGAAGAAAACTCAATCAGGCGGTAGATGATCCGTACTGAGATCATGCCGAGGGAAAAGTAAAGCGCCCAAAGCAGAGGTTTCCAGGAGCGGGATTGCTTCCTGGAAAGCTTGTCTAGGCTTTGCATCTCGACCTGGAACTTCAATGCCAGGGCGACGAAGATGAGGATGAAGAACTCTTGGAGTCCGATACCGCCCATGTAGATATGAATCGCCTTCATCTGTTCCGCGGGTGGCGCTGTTGGGCCGGCCATGCTGCCTCCAGTGAGTTGAACAGCAAATGATATGATGTCAAGTGCGACAAAGATCGCGGCGAATGTTGCGGCGGGAATGCGGAGGAGAGAGCGCGAGGGGTGAAAGAAGTAAATCATGCGGCCCAAGGTCATGTATGCAAAGGCGTTTACCCCTGAGAAAGCGTTAGACTTCTTTCAGTGGAAATACAGCTCAGATCTTTGTACTTACAGATAGGCGCAAGCAAGATGAAAATCTGAAAAACGAGGTAGATGCCGTTACTCTGCTGATTCTTGCTGCTTGCAGCTCGGAAGATGAAGGCCAGAGTCTCCCAAATGCTCGCCATTATAATAACCCAACACCATCTCTAGATGCTAGTCAGATACTGAGCAACTCACGTCGACTTACTAGCAATGCTAAAACGTACGAACCTTCTTGTGCTTGGCGGCCTGCCAGATGTGGACGACGGTCAAAATGCCGAAGAGAGCCGCAAACACCGCCGCAGCCGCGAAGCTAGGGTAGTAGTTCCAGATGGCACCGCATTCGCCGGGTGGGATGTAGCCATTGGCATCGGGCTCGATCGTCTGGACACACGTTGGGATGGCGATATCGATGGTCTTTGCTGGGACTGTGACGTAGCTATTCGTAACGCCGGGAATGGTGATGTACTTTGTCGCGATGAAGTCTCCCGTCGGAATAGATGATGTTGATGAAGAAGTTACAGTAGAGTCTTGACGATTTGCCAAAGAATTTGGCAAAGTGGGCGTGGGTGAAGATCCTGATGGTAAAGCCAGGGCGGTCGCAGCCGCGGCCAACGTGATCCAAGACAAGTGCATCGTGATGAGTGTCGAAAGATGTGGAATGACGAGGAGAATTGAGCTTGATTATGTTGAATTTTCTTCATCTTCACAACGAAGTCCGCCATTCTCGCCTTTATAAGTGAGATTCTTAGGCCTTCATCGCTGGTGTAAGTGAATGTCGATAATCGCGGTGCCTGGCGATGCACAGCCCCCCACGTTTGCAGCTGTTATGTAAAGAAGCGAGCCGACCAATCGTAGACTCTCAAGGGGCGCAGCTTGTCGATGATAGCAATGTAGAGTGTGAACCCCTGCAATGTCAGCACGGTAGCTTGAGACCTGGCCGCGTGTGAGGCGTAGCCTTCCTTCGAGAGGTTTAGCGTCATCGAGAGAGAGACGTGCGGAGGGAAGCAGGCCCTGGGCAAAAAATAGCAACTAGATAATCATGGCTTGCGCTTCAATTGTACTCGAAACCACTCCTCCTGGACAGTGATAGGCCCTCCGTGATCCCTCATCAAGAGAGCGACCTTCTTCCACATGGCGATACCGCCATTCTTCTCGTGGACGAAGCGTACCTCATCTTGCATAGCCGAATCTTTAATTCGCCGTCCTTCCGGTGGTAACGTCCCGTCATCGACGACATTGGTAATATGCTCATCGTGTCCGAGGTCCAGCTCGTGCTCAAACTCGACAATCTTGCGTCCGAACGCCAGAACAGTGTTGAAGTCCCAGAGGTTCTCCCTCTCGTGCGCAATCGTCTTCATGAGACTCAAGGCGGCGATTCGCAGTGACAAGGACCGGCACTTGATAAAGACGAATCCTAGCAGTGGGCTGAAACCCATCTCAAAGGTGAACTTGGCCCGTCCGATCCTCTGCCACATTTCTCGGAAGATAGTTTCGACTTCACGACCAAGCTCGATGATCCGTTGGAACTTGTCCAGATGTAGATCGTATACCAATTCGCCGCGAGAAAAACACGTGCTGAGCCAAATCTTGCCTACGTGCCACTTCATCTCAAGTAGGCGTTCAACGAGCTCTTCTCGCATGGCGGCGCGCTGGCAATTATTCGGGGACTTTTGCACCATGTACGCTTGGAATGCCGCAGCCCAGTCATCTAGCAACTCGTCCATCTCATCTCTTTCCTGCATTGTTAACATATCCGGCTTGGGATGCGTCTCATCACCAAGGCGATATTCGTCAGCGGCCCGTACAAAGCGAATCGCGCGCACGAGTAACGGATCCAGCGCTGCTTGAACCTGCTTTAAGTTGTAGAAGGGGGGTGCTGGAACTGGATACGACTCTGGTATGGCCGGGAACGTTTCCGGTCGGGCACCGAAGAAGAAAGGGAACACTCCAAGGCGACAGAAGGCCGGCGTGAGGTGCTCTCGAACGAATCGCGATGTAGACCTGGAACCATTAAGGATGTTGATGCCATGCCTGCAATGATCGATGGCACCCTTGCATTCGCCACGAAGCATATCGATACACACGAAGAGAATGCACACAAATAGGACCGTCTCCTGGTTGTTTGTTGTTCGCAGGTGTTTGATCGCCTCGTTGTAATGCGCAACCGCAAAGGAATTCTTCTCCGAATGCCGGTCTAGGGGATCCTCCTTGAACTTCTCGTACAGCGAACTGATGGCCAATGCGGCATGTTTCGCAGCAAGCTCCTGGTGAGAGACCTGAGAGACAAGATGAGTCCAGAAGTAACTATCCAAGGGCCCGGACAAGACGGGGGCGACGACTTTGCGGAAGAAACTCAAGGCCCGGAGTTCTGCGTCCGATGCGGCCTGGGTCGGAGGCGGATGGATGCGGAGCAGCTGAGCCCATGAATATGTCCCCGTTGGCGGTGTCACGTAGCCATCGCATCTCCGGCCCGTGCTGACGCACCTGTTGCATGCCGGGCGTGCTTCATCACATTTGACTCTTCGGATTCTAGGTTGGTTAGCTCTAACGTACGTGTAGGTATGAATGATGCCTTAGAGCTTGCGGCTGGGCTGTTGGACTCACTTGCAGGTTACACAGCCCGTCTTAACCTTTGCTACCCCGAGTCGAGCCATTTGCGCGCCACAAGAACAAGCAAGCAAGCGAGTTGTTAGGGCTGTGTGGTTGTTGTGTGATGGAGGTGGAGATGCGCCCTGAGAGACGCGTTTCTCACCTATCTCGTAAAGATGCGAGGTGGCCTATGAAGAGACAGGGAGTCGATAGTAAGGTGTGTTTGATGTCAGGGAACGAGCCTCCTCAAGTAATGTGAGCTTGCGTACGAATAGTCCCCGCGCCGTCGCGTCGACTAGGTGGGCGGACTAGGTGATGTGCCATGGAACTGAATCCCGAGCCACATAGCGTGACGTTGTCGTTCGACGGTGTTCGTTTCAGAAGCGAACAAGAGAGCCTGAGACCAGAAACGCAGCATAATACACAGTTTCCCGGCGTGTCTTCGTGTCCAGGTTCGCAGTGACCACCCTCCCTTGCACACAGCTCGTGTCACCATCAGCCACCTACTCCCATCCACGCAACCATACCAAAAGAAGATCGGCCGGCCGCTTTTGAAAATAAGCCCCGAATCCCTCAAGTAAAAGCCCACTATCTGCGGGGCAAATGCGACCAGGCCAATCGGGCGCCGTGGACTCTAAATAAGGTCTGCTTATCTAAGTTGTTCTCTCTCGCTTCTTCCTGCGCTTCAGTGTCATCTCAACTTCAACAATGACATGACAAGACACCTTCATCTTTGTCTCATTACATGATTCAGTCATTACAGAGTCCAGACGCATTACCGCGTTACCGAGCAAGAGGAAACTTCCAATAGTGGCATTCAACCTATTGATGCCGAGCCTACTCGAAGTCAAGCGCGTCTACAGTCCGACGAATCACCTCTCGATGAACACGAAACTGTGCTGATAAGTAATGTCGGTGCTCATCATCAGCACCGCTCCTAGGCCGAACTAAAAGAACGGGAAAACGGCCCGCAAGAATGCGGGAAGCTTCGTGGGCATCCGAGATCGGGCCCGGGAGGCATTTGGCATACCGGCCGATCTTGAAGACGCCGGCGATGGAGCAGCGGCACGACAAGTGAACACGCTGCCGTCGGATCTGATCGAGCACAGATATTGTAAATCATCAAGTCATATTCTCGAGCTGGCTTCTGGTAGATGACGGCCTCACGAAGCCGTGTCCGACACTCCCAGCTCTTCCCAAAGCGCTCAGCAAGATAGCAACGAACCAGACCTCCAGCTTCTACGTCCTCGTCGCAACTCCGACTTATCCGGCCAATGCTACATATGACTCTCCGTCCGATGTTCTTCGCTCCGTCGCTTGCTAACCTTTGAGGCTCCGCTGGAGCCGGGCAAACGTTGAGTCCTCGACCAGGCCGATACTCTCCCCGCGCGGCTTCACCATGGCGGACAAGGCGGGGTTGCAATGACACCGATGTCCGACCTTCCCGAACTGTTACCCCTGCATGTCACTTCTGTCAAGTTGTCAACACACCTCGAAACGCTCAGTCAGACTTCTGTCGCAGCTTGACGTGAACCGGCATCCCGTCAGAAATCTGCGGTGTGCCCTTCTCAGTCTGGTAGCACCGGTCTCCCTCCACAAACATTTTGGGGATTCTGGTATTCTCGCTGCGCACAGAGTCAGCGTTTAGGTCCCCATAATGGAACGAATTGTTGAGGTGTGCGGTTTCGGGAACTTACTGGAGGGCATCCCACTCGTCCCAGGCGCAGTCAATCTCAAAGTTGCGCGCGAGGGAGACCAGGACCAACTTCATTTCAACCACGGCTAGCTCTTGGCCAATACAGGCACGGCTTCCAAGTCCAAAGGTCCTCCAGCCGTGCTTCTTTGGGTGCAATTCATCTTCTGGGTCTGTCGTCATCCATCGCTCCGGCACGACCTCGTTGCCTCTCGGCCATAATTCCTCGTTGCGAGACTGCGAACGTAACCCGTCCCATATGAGGAATCCGCCGGTGGGATACTGCTCTCCTGTGATGCTGTCGGTGATGCGATAATGCGATTGTCCGTCTCGAATGACAGGAGGACCGGGAAACAAGCGCAGTGCTTCTTTGATGACTCCGCCTGTGTAGAGTAGGGAGTTGAGCAAGTGCGGCGACTCTCTGATCTTGGCGCTTGCATCTGCGGGGTCTTTGCCCAAGACTTCGTCGTGTTCAGCCCGTAGCTTTTGGCCAACTTCGGGATTCTTGGCGATGCAGTGTATCGCCCAGCAAAGGGCCGTGGCCGTCGTATCGTAACCGGCAAACATGAAGATCTTGAGCTGGGAGACGACTGTCTCTAAAAATAACCGGTCCACATTAACCACGCCAGACATGGGCTTCAGCGCCAAGTCGATGATGGTCTTGAGCACCTCCTTCTTCTTTGATCCTTTGAGGGATCGCTCGATCGATGGTAGTAGTTCGCTGTACATTGTCTCCCTGTTCTCTTTGATAGCAGCCAGCCGCCACGGGCTGTACCACTTCCACATGGTGACAATGTTAAGATGGAGAATCACCCTAGAAATCTGGTCCATGAGAGCACTTCTGAATCTGCTAGGTCCGTTTGTCTGCTCATGAAGCTCGATATCAAGCACCGCTCGGCCGATGACATCCATGGTCAAGTTGGTCGTGGTCTCCACGAGCGGAAACACATCACCCCAAGAGCCGTCGACGCCAGCTTTTTCCCGCATAATATCGGCGAACACCTCGACATCCTCCAACATTCCGGGAACAAGGCCGAGAACGTTTTTATTACTGAAACTGGGGTTGAACCTCGCGCGCCACGTCTTCCACGGCTCGCCTACCAAACATGCGAGGTCCATTGCTTCCGTGATCGGGGCCAATGCCTTCTTGGTCCAGTCACTACGCGGCACGCTGGCGTCGAACATGTAGTGGCCTGCTGCTTCCGGGTGCACAGTGAAAACTAGCGGAGGACCCATAGGCCACATGTCGGCATAGACTGCTGAGGGACACGATGTCCGGCCGGGGAAGAGCGTTTCCCAGTTGTCGACGATGGCTTGAGCATAGTAGTTGAAGTGTACGTCTTTGGGTAAGTGCGAGGTGAGCTTCATGAGTAGGCGCAAGTGGCCAAATAGAAGCGAGTGAGGCATCATTGGCTATGTCGTGTTAGAAGCCTGGCTTCCCAAGTGTGCTTGAAAACTCACGACTCCTTGTCTCTGAAGCTTGCGAAACCTCATTCGCTCTTGGACCATTCGAGCCAAAACGTAGCCGATGCCAAGTGCTGCGGCCAGACCCAAGAGGCGGAACATCATTGCCATGGGGCTCTCGACCCCCGAAGCTGCGAAAAAGCCCATTTGAGCGGTCTCCTCTCTGATGTTCCGGCAGAATCTGCGGGTTCTCTCTCAAGTCACCTTCGTAGCTCTCTCTAGCGACAAGAGTGCCGAACCACCGTCTCTCTTATACATAAGTATAACGGGAGGACCCGTCAAGGATTGACATATGCCGCGGTCGTAAAATGACAAAAGGCAGGGCCATCATTGGTTCCACGATCAAATACCCCTCTCAGACCAACGGTGGTATCGCAGGCCGAGGAACAAGACTGATGTAGAGTCGGCCGCCTTCTTCATATGTGCATGCCCCCGCGGGACTCTGCATCGGGATTCTCCATTCTTCAGGCTTGGCTTTGCAGAAACGGGTCGAGAAAGCCAGCCGTTCGTTGCGGGTGCTTTGTGGGAACTTTGGGCGGGGATCTGGCGGCTTCTGGATCTGCGAGCAAGGGTTGTGCAGGGCTTCCGAGGGTAACCTGACTTATCGTAACTGCGCCGTTGGTCGGTTGGTCGAATTTGGTTCTTTGGTATATGTAGTGTAACGGTGTAACGATCGACAGCGGATACGTGATATGTGCTCGCATATCCGTACTGGTGTTGGTGTCGCACAGCATTTGATCATTGCGAGGTGGCTCTGAGTACCTTAACTCCGAGTGGTGTTCTCGGAAAAATTCTTTGGTACCAAAGCAGCCTTGACGTGACAAGTATCTTGACGTGATTACAATTACTCGGCGTACAACGAAACTCGTTGTTTCTTTCACTTGCCGCATTAACTACATCGTCGCTTGTTCCCAGGTGAGCACATCTTACCTACTTCATCAACGAGGCCTTAATTGATACAAACTTTCATGTTATGAGAGACCCTGTTTATTTTTCTCGACCCATATTTCGTTGCACTGTCATTCAGCTCAGCCCATTCTGTGGCTGGAAATGTCGCCAGGTGTCTTCATACTATTTCGGGGTGAGTCATGCGGCAAACACAACTAACCCGATGAGACTCAACACATAGAGCGCGATCTGAGCAGCGCCGCCAATACACCTTTAAGAAGGAGGCAAAAACCCTTCTCTAAATCGAGATACTTACTCAAGAATAGTTATGGTTCAAGAGACCAAAGACTAAATTCATTAAGTGGGGTAATCTTTTCTTGATAAACTCACCTTTGTCCCCAAATGACTGCCAATCATAAGCAGGAAGCACCCACAGGCAATTGGAAATTATCGCCAGAACACAACCACAATGTCGGAGATCGACCCTTCAAGCCCACATATTGCCACCTTCATGGCCAAAGTCTCCGCTGAGCTCAATATTCCTCTTTCGCCACCCAAGGATGTAACAGCTTTCGGCGACAATCCGGCCTTGAAAGACGAGCTCCTGGATCTTCTGCTTCAGGGCAAGAAAACATCTACAACAACCTGGCCAATCCCTGAAACGCTTCATTGGGGAGTTGGTGACCTTTCCATTATACTTGACGGTAGAGGAGAACCAAGGGCTATCATCAAGACAACGTCGTTTGAGAGATGCAAGTTTCGGGATGTAAGGGAGGAATTCGCGCTTGCGGAGGGAGAGGGGAATTATCAAGAATGGAGAGACGGGCACAAACGATATTTCGAGCGCAGTGAGGATTCAAAGGATTTCAGTGAAGACGTTGAGGTGCTATGCGAGTGGTTTGAAGTAGTGTATCCTCAAATTACGAGCAAGTAGAGTCGAGCAAACCCATGTTGGGGAAGAGAATGTGAAAACCGCTTTGGCTTGGGCCAACAAATTTCAACAGATAAGAGCTAGTATAGCAAAAGTTGTATCAAATAATCTTCTCCAAGAGCAATTGACGTGTATGGAAGTGCTCCGAGACAAAAGAGAAGTGATATGCAGCTTATTGCCTCGAAATGCAAAAGGATTGGGCCCTAACCAGGATTCGAACCTGGGACCTCTCCCAGACGTGTCGTGGAGACCCTAAGGGAGAATCATACCGCTAGACCATCAGGGCGGTTGAACTCGAACTGAGCTTGTTATCGATGAGGTCGAGAGCGAGATGCGAGACTATGTTGTGTTTGTGGGTGGAATAGGGCTTTGTCGCTCGTGGGGACGTTTGGGGGCCGAAATGAGGATCCGCGGGCCGGTCCCGGACGCCCACAACCCGGAGGGACCGGCTCTGGTGTGCCGGAACCCCGTGGTGCAATGGTCCTGTAATCTGGCCAGCGGGCGCGGGTTGAGCTTGAAAACTGGCGCAAAGGGTGCTGCATATGAGGCAATTTGTGATAGGATCCAGTTGTCACAAGCGCACCAGCGAAGCCGGCTTTCTTTTTACACCAATGAACATTGACATCTCAAGAGTGAGAGACGAGTTCCTAGACTCTAGTCACTTTGGCTACATTCTGGACGCATCGAGAATCTGCCCTTGGACGCACTCAAATTTGGACCCCAGGAATTCATTCCAAAGATGTTGGGCTCTCATTCCCTAAATTCCCGAAAATGGGCTCCTCATCTAGTTCCATGGGGATTTGGTGTCCCGCTGTGTGCACCCCACGTTGATGTGGACAGCTTGCATGGGGGTTTTTCTTCCCAGCATGTTGCTGGACCTCTTGTGGGTTCACAAGTACAACGCGGCAGTCCGGCAGAAAATTTTGGGAAGAAAGGGTGAGACTACAAATACTAGAGCAATAGTGTTGTGGTAATTAATATCTTGCCAGTCGCCAAGCGAAATGGAGTACTCTCGATTTCATCATGCAATGTGTAGAGGTGAGTCGAGCCGGCGGTGTGCTTTGCGGGACTCAGGAGACGGGGAATGCGGAGAAGATCTCCGAATGTAAGATCTTGAAAACCCGAAAAGAACTGCTTTCGAACCTCAGAAGCACAGGCGTGGTCTCAGACCTGGACGCTCATTTTGAGCCAAAGAGTGCTGTATTGCTGCACCCGTGCAGAGTTGGGGAATCTTAGAAACATTGCATTCCAGTTGGTCCCGGTTCTGGAGCTTCAAGCATAACTGTGACTAGCTCTCTCGTGAAGCAGATCACCTCAAGTGCTTACTTTCGAGCCGTAAGCTTATGTGCATTAGTGCGATACCAGTCTCGTAGGCTGGACTGATACATCCAAGCTGCATTATTAATGCTCTTTGACGCTTGAGCCTGTGACGCTACCAACCAAGTTCGCGTCATAACATGATGAACGCGTACGCCCAATGCCTCGATTGATCCGGCAGTCCGGGACAAACTTTGAGGTCGATATTTTCTTGGGTGAACCTTGATGTCGCATGTCTTCTCCTGGGAACATGCAAACTCTTGATGAATCTCCATTGGCCCAAAGATTCGTACATCAAGACGACTGAAAGCTTGGCCAACATCCATAAGAAGAACTGAAATCATAGAGCGGCCTACATGACGATGCTCAGTAATGGAATTTGGATTGCGTTCCTCGCAACGGCTTACGCTGCAGTTCTGCCGTCAACGCAGTTGCCACGTGAGGTCAAAGCCTCTTCCATCTCTAGCATTGTAGTATTCGGTGACTCTTTCAGCGACAACGGTAAGCGATCGGTGGTAATTCGACGGACTTGCGTTCAGGATGAACATGACTGACGGGTTGCGAGTTATAGGGAACGGGGCTGCTCGAGTATCGAATAATGCCTGGCCTACAGACAAATAGTCAGTGAACCCCTTTCCGCTATGTCTGTTCTAGTTCAATTCATGTAACAGCCAATTCAGCTACAAGGGTCGCTTTTCGAACGGCATCGTCTGGGCAGAATATGTAGCAGCTAATCTCTCATTGCCCCTTTACGACTATGCGGTAGGAGGTGCAACGACTTCGAATGCCCTTATCCATGGCTACACAGGCGCAAAGGGTGATATCGCTGTACCTTCTGTTATTGATCAAGTCGTCTCGTTCTTGGCGAAGATAAATCCTCAAGGGGCAGCCTTCGAAGCGTCCGATTCGATGGCAATGGAAAGCCCATTGCTGATCCTGTTTGCTGGTGCCAACGATATCCTGTTCAAGGCCAATATCAGTGCTTCGCAGTCGTATCAAATTCTTCGTCAAGCCGAAGCACAGCTCCGCGATGCGTACCCAAGTGCAAGAGTTTTGACTCTAACGCCGCCCGACATCTCTAGACTTCCGTATGGCTTCTACTTAGAAGACAATCTAGCAAAGAACCAGTTGCGAACTTTCACAGACCAGCTGGGAGAACTGCTCGACAGGTCAAAGACGGGAGCCGTCAACCTTGATCTTCGGCCGCTCTTCGACGAATTTGAGTACCATGCTTCTCCTCGGGCGTACGGATTTGACCCACTGGGAAAGTACGGCAGTTGCCTCGAAGGTGCATATGGCGAGACGCCGAACGTGACGATCTGCGGAGACCCAGATAGGCGGGTATACTGGGACGAATACCAGTGAGTTTTGGCTGGGCTCTTCTTTTCGTTTCTTTTCCGAGCCGACTTGCCGTTTACCCAGCCTTCAGCTCTCATTCTGACGTCGTGCAGTCCTACAACTCATACCCACTCGTGGATTGCCAAGGAGGTTCTAGACGTCCTGAGAGGTCCGTTCTGATTACCTCTTGTGGTTGAGGGAGCGAAAGTTGGAGTTCCGAGGTTGTCGGTTTCGGCATAAATGGAAGAATGCAAGTATACGGGGGGCAGCGTAGAAGTTTTCTTGGAAGCAGTTTTACAGAAAGAGCGATGAACAAAAGCGAGACATTGGATCAGACGAAAGAAGCAAACTCGCTGGGCCAATACCAAGTTCCAATTCCAACTTCGGTCCAAGACCAGGGGACCCCTCGCAGGTCTGTCCTGAAGAGGCGAAGGCATCCCAACCCTCCCCTGCCAACTCCACTTGACCCGGCTATTGTTGACGCCAACTCTCTGTGTCAAACAAGCACGGACGAGTTGTTTGCGAGCTGAGGATACTGCGTCCCGCCCGTTGCCGCTGACAAAGATGCATCCTTCAGGGGCGGAGTTCTTGGTTCTTCGTCAAGCTGCTACGAAATCCGATGTGCTGACCATGGCTACATAAAAGTCAGACAGACTGAACTGGATCAGCTATGATTTGTGATAAGATAGAAACAAGCTCAGAGTATTGAACTAATTTTGGTGATATTCTTTCTGCATGTTCATGCTTCGGACTTGTACGATGGATCTCCATTCATCCATATTGGATGGCGAATTTCGAGTAGAATATTTTGACATGGTCCACAAGTCTTGGCAAGGCTCGTTGTCACAGAAAGCACGGTACGAAATTCAGGGCTGGTGGCCGCGTCTTATTCTCTGCCCATGATAAGCGGAAAATTGAACGCAATGACGTGGAAACAATTTGGCTTTAAGCGCTCTTGCGTTCCCGAAGCCGGACTTCCGGGCCTAGGTGGATGAAGTTATGGTTAATTGGTTATTTGGTGATGTGGCTCAACAACAGACGAAAAGTGAAGCAATCTCGGAGGCGTCTCACCGATCAATGTCACAAGCCGTTGAAGCAGGGCAAGGCAATTCGCCAGTAATGCGGACATGACTTCCCGAAAGCGTTCTTTGCAGTTAGTCGAGTGTTCCCTAACGCCGCGACTCTCCTGAGGTCCAGGAGTTTCCATCCCACGTTGCCGCCCAAAATTGTTTTCTTAAGGCTGGTCTCTGTGCAGGCATGTCCCCTGGCCTCATTTAAGCGCGACGTGCTGCCATCTGATGACGCGTAACTAAGACATGGTCCGCCCCCGGTAGACAGGGAGACTAAGCAGCGTCCCATCACCTCTCTGGACTCTGCATCCCCGTTAAAAAAAACAAGTGAAAACCCCCGAACTAGGAACAACGGCACCGTTCCCCTCGCCCTAAAATGTAAAGGTGAAACGAAGACGACGACGTCCCTCATTTACAGCAAACGCCCCATGGTCGGAAAATAAGGGAGCAGTGGGGACCCTGGACCCGTCTTCCTTGAAACACACGGCCGTGATGGGTTGAACATCGAAAGCCGACCACTCAGAGCCTTCCACACACACTCCAGTCATGTTCCCATCCTGGAGAAGATCTGTTGCTCCTTGGTCTGGTCTAGAACCCTCGAGGCTCGAGCAAGTTGTTGGTATCAGCACTGTCGACTCGCTGAGCTGCGCGCATCCACCCATCCATCTGCACCATCCACCCACCCACGCGGCATCCATCCTCCTGATCCCGCCGCGGAAAGCTAGGCCAACAGTTGCCAAACTCCTGTTACCCCTGAGAACCCACCCGTTGGAAATTGACAGCAATATGGCGCCCATGCTTCTCACCACTGTTCTGTCTTGATCGAAAGCGGGAAAGTCGGGCCACCCTTCTATCCAAGCTGGACCTTGAGCCGCAGACAACTACCGAATAGTGGCAACTCGTCCGGGGCCAAAGTCGCCAAACATGGTTCTTGCTCTGCTAAACGCCCACATCCCGCCGGGCTGGGTCGGCTCCCCTTGTCGATCTGTGTCGTCCGATGGCGCAACAGTTCACCATGTTGCTCGACCAAGTTGACGCCATCCTGGCAAACCATGAGCCAAATCGGTGGCGGATGGCAACCGGGATCCCAGACGTCGAGATCGATATAAGATGCAGCTTTTCTCCTTCCAAGACCAGTCTTCTTTTTGCTCTCCATCCCACTCCATCTTCATCACTTTCATTCCAAACACATTGAAGCTAGTCTTCTTTTTCCGTTCTTGATACCAAGCCTTTCATTCGTTCCTTCGAACCACATTCATTACCAACCTTTCCCACCTC